GATCAACAGCCGATACCGCACCGTGACGTCACAAACCAGTAGGTGGCAGTAGTGTTCTTTGACAAATATGGATGCCTCCAGTAAAGCACATTCACATTAAAATTACTCTGAATTAAAAACACTGATCATTTATTGAACAGTATGGAATAATTTCATATTTAAAGCACTTTCAGAAGTTTGATTCTGAATATGACCCGACTTTTCCTTCAATATAAAGAAAGAAACATCAAGAGGGATTTATTCTGGTTCTACATATGTTTGTTGAAATTGAGTTAAAGCATCTCAAGCTAAAGCCTAAAGCAGTTTTCTTTCAACTTATGTGGACAAACACATGATTGGACTCTGGACTGATTAATTCTTCTTCTTTACTCAAACTGTCTAATAGAATTAAATATGCTCTCTTCCCCAAAGCCAAATTTGGAAAAACAATTAAATGTTTTCTTTTCCAGCTGGAATCAAATGCTGTCTACATTTTTACATGAGACATAAGGGCTGTTTATAAAGGTGGCCTAATCCAAAGGCATAGACTGCATTATGCCTTTTTTAACAGCCTTATGGCTCCTGTTATTCTCTGTTATTTACACAGTTATGTTGTTGCTAAGCTGTCTGATACAGAAGAGATTTGGAGACTGAAGGACATGTTTTCATCACAGCAACAGGAACAAGTTCTATATTCCTGAAGAGGTTTGGTGCCCTCTGTTGGATAACCTACCAAATTAATTTCTCCTAAAATCAACTCTAAGCAGAAAGGCATGAAAGTTATTGCAGCTTAATACGTCACCAGTTAAAAAGCCTGACATTTCAGCTTAAGCTTTTTAACAGGTGAAATTTTCAGAAAATTTCCTTTGATTTATCTAACAATTTAGGAACAGATGTAGCCATTAAACTAAGAACATAGTGAACAATACAAAGTATTAAAAGATTAAATGTTGTATTTGGTTTTTATGTTTGCAAAATTCCATATTTTTTTCAAAATGGTTTAAACTTTGAAACTACATTGAAAAATATCAGGAATTTCTTATTTATTTTACTGAATTGGAAAACAAATTGGAAATTAAAATGTTGACCTTTGCAACTAAATAGGAATTTTAGCTTTAGCTTCAGAAAAAAATATTTTATCGTAATCGTGTAATTGTTATAGAAATCTGTACATATATATATATATATATATATGTTCATGTATATGTACATAGATATATATATAATATATTATATCATTATATGTGATATAAATTATTATGTTTTTATATACATAAAAAAAATATTATAATATCTAGATATATACATCTCTCTCTATATATATATAAATTATTATAGTTTTTATATACATAAAAAAAATATTATAATATCTAGATATATACATCTCTCTCTATATATATATAAATTATTATAGTTTTTATATACATAAAAAAA